GTTTAGGGCAGTCGGTTCATAGTTCTGCTTCAACTGTGCGACACCCTCACGAGAGGCAACCAAAATTCGGCCTGACTCAAAAAAAAGTCGCACGAGTCAGAATTCGGCTTAAAATCGAACGAAAGCTGCACAGTGTATACCCGGCCTTACGCATTTTATCATCTACAATGGAGCTGTTGTTTGGCAGCCGTGTTTTGTAACGTTGTCTAGCCCAACCACATGTTGGTAGGCAGAGTTAGTGTAAATAGTCTCTGCCAAGAAGGCAGGCTATTTGCACTTAATGTAAATGGACACTCCAAATACTATCAATTCGGACATACTTTTTTTTCTCCTACTCTATAGGATGGAAGTATGCATATTCGGAGATAGGCCTACAGACTGTCAGTTGGGTGTAAACAGGTCATAAAAATTCATACAAATTAGCCACCAATTCAAAACATAAAATAGTTCATTGCTATGAGAGTGTGTTGTCCAAACAGGTGTGTGTGTAAGCAAGTTGGAGCGAAACATTATAATGCAGTGAATTGTCGCAAATTCTGAGTTTGTCCTCTATGAGATGAGTCTGATTCTGAATATGTGTAGTATGAATGCTTTAGTCTGTCACATGCGAGACTCGCGTGCTGCTCTCGCGAGGTGTTTAATAGGAGGGACAGCACGTGAATCACTCAGCGTCTCCAGCTAATTACTCGCGCCTTCAAGTTAATTAACTGCAAGCAAGGAGCAGCAGGGAAGGAGGACTAATTAAGCAGTGCTTAAAATCACAGGATGAAACGGCATTATTCTGACCCAACATTTAAAAAAAAAAAAAACTGCTGAAATTGTTTTGACACAGGCGAGGCACGAGGCACTGAGAATTGTAGAAATTCAGTGCTGACAGACAATATTTGTGGCAGTTGCCAGATATGAATGCAGGATTCTGTTGTTGGGTAATACAAATAACTTTTGTGAAAAATTTTAATTGAACTTTTCACAGCACAGTTTGGCACAAAAAACAGACACATCCTTGGCAATGTTGCCATTTTAATGTCCATGACGTGTTTTATTGACTTACAGTAATCTATAAACTGAACACAATGTCTTTGGCTTGACAGTTGTCCAGTACAATCCAGTGTGTGTCTGTATGTATGAGAGAGAGTGAGAGCATGTCAACTTGACACAGTTTTTTTTAATTTTTAACTCACAGGTAAACACCAGTATTCTCTTCTTTTTTTCAGTGTTGAACTCTCTATTCTGATGACTGACAAAGAACTTTCTCTCAGTCTCTGTCTGTTTGTCTTTCTGTCTGCTGTGACAGCACTGTGACACACGCTATGTTTTGTTCTCTTTATTGGAGAGCAGGCTCTGGTTCTAATGCCTGCTGGAAACCTGTGCAGAACTGCCTGCATAATCTATTCTGTAGGAGGGAAACATCCTGGCTATTCTTTGGCTCTGTTCAGTCCTTTTTCAGCAGAATGTGCAACCTATTGTGTTAAGGCAATGCATAGAAACAAGATTAGTTAACAAGCTCTCTGTTCGAATATGTTTTTATTATTTGTTTTTCAGTTAATATATTCACTACCGTTCAAAGGTTTGTGGTATATAATATTTTTGAATTTCTATTTTGCTCACCAAAGCTGCATTTATTTAATAACAGTAACATTATGATTTTTTTTTACAAAATTAAAAATAACTGTTTTCTATTTGAATATATTTAAAATTTGTATTTATTCCTGTGATGGCAAAGCTGAATTATTAGCAGCCATTACTCCATTCTTCAGTGTCACATGATCCTTCAGAAATCATTTTAATATGCTGATTTGCTGCTCAAGAAACATAAAACACATCATTATGAATGTTGTAAACAGTTGTTGTGCTAATAGTTTTGTGGAAACTGATCTTTTTGTCAGGATTCTTTGATGAATATTAAGTTACAAATATTTATTTGAAATCTTTTGTAATATTATGAATATTTACTGAGATTTACGGTCACTTTTGATCAGTTTACTGCTTCCTTGTTGAATAAAAGTATTCAAGACACATTTCTAAAAGAACAAAAAACTTACTACAATATTTTGAACGGTAGTGTATCACAGTTTTCACAAAAACATTAAGCAGCAATAACGGTTTTTAACATTGATAATAATAGGAAATGTTTCTTGAGCACCAAATCTGCATTTGAGCATATTAAAGTGATCGTTTTTAGCATTTAAAGAAAAAAATGGCAATGAAAGTCCATCAAATTTCCTCTTTAATTTGTCTTATGCTTCACTATGGTTTGAAAATCCAGAAATGTTGTTTTTTGGTGCTTGTAGTTATTATTCCTCTAGTTTTTGCTATTTCCCCAAAACAGTGTTTTTCTTTGAGGTCATGTGATGCTCCTTTTTTGTCCTACCTATTAAACTCAAAATGTCAGGGTGGTACAATTGTCCTGATTTCATAATGAAGAAAAAAAGCCTCATTAAAATCATGAATTCTTGAAAAGAAAACCTTATTAGGTAGTTTGGTATAATTTTCAATCATTATTTATTAGAAAGAAATGCTTTAACAAATGTGCGTATTAATATTTGAAAAACTTTTGTCTGCAAAATCAAAGTACTGTGATATGTCCAAGAAAATTCAGGGGATGGAACCGACATGCAGAATCATGGAGAAATAGACCACGTATAATCAGAGTTTGAATCTTTTTATATATATATAAATCCGTATAAATATATCTTTATATATAATAATATCTCTATCTTAACAGAAGCTATAGAGTGCATGTAAACATTCGGCTCTTGTGTAGTGTTTTGATTGACATCCCAGACAGACAGACTTCTGATATTCAAGGCCCGTCTCCATTATGTGGCATAATGATATGTCTGCTTCTCTATGTGCATAGGGGCTGTTTGTTTAGCCCTCGCATTGGCTGCCGTGTATGTGCGTTTGTATGTGTGTTGAGCATGGGGAATATAATCTTGTGTAAACACCAAGCTCGTCTCTCAGGTGGAGTCGTATGAATGAAACACACAGTCTCAGCGAGGTCTCAGAGAGCCGCGTGTCAGTCCACGTGAATGGGAGAAGAGTCTATCTGTAGAAACAGACTGCAATCAGAGCTCCAGCCTTTCAGGCTGCACAAAAAAGCAACAGTCTGACTGTTACAATTATGAATCTTCCTTTGACTTCCTTTGAACTTTAGTCATTCCTCTGCATTTGATTTAGGTTGGTAAAACTTTATAATAAAGCCTCATTAGTTATCGTTAATTAATGCACTAACTAACAATGAGCAATGCACAATACACAATAGCGGAATAGGTTAAAAGTTTTAACTAATAGATATCACCATACTTCATCAGATGAATAATCACAGCACATTAAGACAATTGTTTTGTATTAAAAGTTTTCCTGAAATGTTATGTTTGATTATGCAAATTAGGCATTATGTAATTAAAAGTGCACACATTTGCATAGATTTCCAGCACAGAAATCTAGACATTGGATAAAGTCAGGTTCAAAGTTCTTGTTTCATTTTGTTGACATATAAACGTTTTTTTTTTTTCATCACTCCATGAATCAGAAAATACTGTCAACAGTCCAAACCAGGCAAACGATTGAATAACAAACCCCTCTGTAAAAACCTTCAGAATATAGTTAGGAATAAAACTGGACAGTTATTATGTAACTGCTTCTGAAGTAGAGATTTCTGCATGTGGAAAAATCTTATTCTGAGAAAACGGCCATAAAAGATACCTACAATAAACACTAAGATAAAATGCAATAAAATAAACACTTAAAGGGATAGTTGACTCTTTGTCGTCATTTACTCTCTCTGAAGTTGTTCCGAACCTGTATGAGTTTCTTTTGAACATGAAAGAAGATATTTTGGAGAATGTTAGTAACCAAACAGTTGATGGTAGCCATTGACTTGAATAGTATTTTGTCCAAACCAAGTAAATGGCTACCGTAATCTGGTTGGTTATCAACATTCTTCAAGATATATTCTGTTGTGTTCAGCAGAATAAAGTAACTCATACGAATTTGGAAAAACTTGGGGGAGAGTAAATGATGACAGAATTTTAATTTTTTAGGTGAACTGTCCCTTTAAATGTATATTTTGAATATACCCCACAACTCTTAAAAAATACTTAATTGTTAATTAGCTTAGGTCTATTAAATAATATTCAGACACAACTTGTGATTTGAGTAATGTATCAGTAAATGTTGAAATTCACATTAACTAAGATTAATAAATACTTAATAATATTATTAATAAATATTTTTTATTGTTAGTTTGTTAATGTTAACAAATGGAACCTAGCTGTTACCAGGTTGTTTTCCAGTTTTCTTTTACAAGTTTAGCAAAAACACAAATATCTGTTCAAATGTCACCATACACACTTGGGATGTGGAGTTTTGTAGCCCAAACCAACCACAAGCCCTCTGAAAGTTTTCCCTCCTGTGACTCCGTTTAAATACTCTTGCAGTCCGATGCCGCCGTGACTGCAAGGGGTCAGACCTACACCAGACAAAACCAACACGTTCTAACCCCATAATAATGCAGGACCTCTGGGGAATAAAGCTGTTCTCTTTTTCCCACATCCCACCGTGCTCTGGGGCGCCTTTTTGTTTACACTGCCCTCACAATGAACGCTATAGTGCCCGCCGAACGAGCTTGTATGGGAGTGTTCTGGGCCTGAATGTACAGCCAGCCACCGGCCCTGCTCTGAATAAGCCCCTTTGAATATTGCCAAGACCCCCGCTTGCATTGTTCCGCGTTATTCCCCGTACAATAGATATCACACTTTGGAAGTAATTTTTTTAAAAAGGGATGGGTGAATCAAAATAGTGGTAGCTTTTAGCTTTTGTTTTCTCACTCTCTCTTTTCTTTCACTCGTCTAGCTCTCTTTCTTTCTTTTTTTCTTTTGCTTCGCGCCCGCCCCGCATTCTCTCTACTCTCTCGCCGTTTTTTTCCCCAGCGGCTCATTCAGAGTTCTCCATTATAGCGGCAAATGAAATAAACCACTCCATTGCCATAAGAGGCTGGGGCCTGGACTGAACCAGCCTAGTTAGCGAGGACCAGGGGAGCAAGGCAGGTGTGCATGCTGGGAGAGAGCGCACCTCACTGGGCTGCTGGGGCCCGGACTGAACCAGCCTAGTTTGCGTAGACCAGGGGAGCGAGGCAGGCGTGCACGCTGGGAGAGAGCGCACCTCGCTGGGCTTTAGTCCACCGCACTCGTGGTTCTTCAGGCTGAAACGGTTTGAGACGAAGCGGAGGATGAGGAGTGGATGGGGGGGAGCAAAGGGTCCCCACCCACCCCTCTGTCTCCAGTGGAGATGGGGAGAAGGACAAAGGAGCTCTCTCCTTCCTCCAGCCCCCCTCCTCAAAAGGGCAGCAGGTACGGGGCATGGTTTTTTTTTCCCCCGAGGTGGGTCGTGGGATGCTGGGGCAGTTGTAGGGGGGAGAAAAGAGGTTTATCTGAAGACCTCTTCTGGGGATAGGTTAATTGTGAACTGGCTTCTCAGAAGGAAGGAGAAATGTCAGGAGAAAAGTGCACGGCAGCCATGACAGAGAAAGAGAGAGAGTTACTCAGTGTCAGACAGTTTTACACAAATGTTACGAGATACAGGAAGTATTTATGCTAAGGTGGTGTTTTTGGTGAGAGGTGTGCTGGAAATTTCTTTGCTTTTTGTTGAGATTTCAGTCTTCAGGATGTATGTGATTTTATTTATAGGAGCTGTAATTATACAGTCTCTTTTGGAAGACACTTAAATGTTAGCCAGTTTATTGTGAGCTCAAACTTTTCTCTTCTTACTTTAATGGTTTCCCTTTTTTGAATACAAATGTAGAAGCAACAGGTGCAAGTGGAGCTAAAAATTGACCCTTTACACATGACCTTCATTTTTAGGAGTAACTGCTTATGAATTAGTAATAACTGCTTGTTTTTTGACGTCTTGTAATTTGAGCTGTACAGAGATATCATGTGGTTTTAGTTGTGGCTGTGTACACTCTTAGAAGTAAAAGGTTCCCAAATAAGGTTTTCACAGTGATGCCATAGAATAACCATTTTTAGTTCTCTTTCAGTGAACATTAAAAAAATGATTGACCTTATTTACCTCCAATCTAATTATTTACCTTATTTACCTCTAAAGGGTGCATATTAGTACCTCAAGTGTATATATGAGTTCCTTTTGAAAGGGTACTGACCCAGTGACTGCTTTTTGTACCTTTTTTTCTGAGTGTAAAGAACCTTTTGTGGAATGGAAAAGTTTCCTCATCGAACCTTAAAAACCTTTGCCAGTAAAGAACCTTTATTTTTTAAGAGTGCATTCAGAAGGTTCAGCACTTATTTTCACTTTCATGCCCATTATTTTCTGTGATTAGATTGGATTTGTATTTACAGTTTTAAATATTATTACATTTATTAATTTTATATGATTAATAAAAGCTATTTTTTATCCAAATGCAAGTGGACTGTTAAAGTCTGCTAATTGTTTTCTACATCTGATTCTACACCTAGTTGTGGTAGCATAGGAAATAATTTATGAAGAGAGAGAGAGGGACAGGTAGAGAGACTAAAGGGAATAATGGACAGCCTCTGAGAGAGACAAAACAAAGGGAAGGAAAGGCCAGGTAGTGAGAGGTTGGCTTTGAGCACTGTTGGGCATCAGCCTGGATGGACCAGGAGAGATGACCTCATTTACAATGTCTGAAGACTAAAAGAGGAAAAGGAAGAGAGTTTGAAGAGGGGCCGTCCCGCTGAGTGCCTCACACTTAGCCCCGCTGGGATCCGATCAGGGCCCAAACTAGTGTCAGACAGGGGGTCTAGTTGTCTCCTCCCTGCCATTTCTAACAAAAGAGAAAAGAAAGAGATCCACTGAAAGTCCGATTCCAGCCGGTGGAGAAGGATAGAGAGGGAGGCCGGCCAACAGATGTGGCCTATGAGAGGACTGTGGGTGACGTGCTCGAGGTGTAGGGAGAGGTGGCATGTACCGGCGAGGATTTGAGCAAGGGAGACTTTGGCAAATGTACAAAATGCTTGAAAGATACAGAGAATGAGCAGAAGAGAAAAAGAGTATGAGAGAGTAATAGAGAGAGAGAGAGAGCTGAGGTCAGGGGCTCCCTCTGAGGTCTGACATTTGAGGCTAAGGGTTGTTTTACGAGTGCTGTTAGCGTGTCAGGTCCGATTTGCAGGGCTTACAGGGCAGGGTTAAATAAGATTAGCAGCTTTACACGTTCACCAAATTCCGCTGCCACCTGAGTTTCTCGATAGCTTAATAGTCAGCTGTTTTTTCTTCTCAGCAGGGGTCTCTCAAAAAACAAGTTTAGCTTAGATTTTTTATTTTTTTTTGCTTTAATTTTGTCTAATGAATTTTATATGCATTATGTTTATTTTTAGAGAGCTTTGAATTTATAGGGTGGTGTTGGTAAAAACTTAAATAAGAATATATTAATATGAAGATGAAATTGTAAGATTTTTGCATTATGGTGTTATTTTATTGACACTTAAGCACATGACAAAAAATCCACCTACCAAATATAATAATAATAATAATAATAATAATAATAATAATAATAGATATACACAACCGTTCAAAAATTTGGGGTTTTGAAAGTCTGTTCATCAACTCTGCATTTATGTGAACAAAAAAAAATTAATATTGTGAAATATTAAAATTTTAAATAATTTAAATATAATGTATAGTTTAATTTATTCCTGTGATGTCAAGCTGAATTTTCAGCATCATTACTCCAGTCTTCAGTGTCTCATGATCCTTCAGAAATAATTATAATATGCAGATTTGCTGCTCAAAAACATTTATTATTGATATTATTGTTGAAAACAGTCGTGCTGCTTAATATTCTTACAGTGATCCTTTTTGATGAATAGAATGATTCTTTGATGAATAGAAAGAATAGAAAGTAAAAAAAAAACTTTCACCTGAAATTCTTTTGTAACATTATGAATATCTTTTTTGCTGTCACGTTTTATAAATTTAACGTGTTCTTACTGAATAAATGTATTCATTTCTAAAAGAAAGAAAGAAAAAAATCTTATTTCCCCCAAACTTTTGAACAGTAGTATATATTTTTATTAAATTGTAAAGTAACAATATATCATTGTAGTATTTGTTGAACTGCTATTAACTTTTGCTGATTGAAATAAAAAGTTACTCTTTTATAGTAATAAGAATCCAATAAGAGTCACCACTAAGATTAATGGGAATTAGAATATGGCAGGAAATCTCTCTCTCTCTCTCTCTCTCTCTCTCTATATATATATATATATTCACACACACACACACACAGCACACACACACATACACAGAGTACATATGATGCTGCAAAATATTTATATTTCTGAAAAAACAACAACATAACTATATATGCATATTACTAAAGTACTTTACCCAGCACATTTCAAAATCACTGCAAGTGTCCGGTCTCCAGTACAATATCTCCCTCCTCCCTGCTCGACTATAGTACTCATTATTGCTCTGGCTCATTTCTCTCTCACTGAGCAGCGCAGTGGCAGGGCAGCATCACATTTAATTTAATTAGTCCAGCTGCACTGGCACTTGTGCCATTGGCTGGTATTGTCAGCACGTTTCGTACCGTGGCACACACAATCACTGATTGCTTTCAGATAGGGAGAAATATAATTAGGGTTTTGGAATGGCAGAGAGAGAGGAGAGAGAAGGAGGGGGTGTGAGGGGTATATTAGAGCCTTATTAGTTTCATTTGAAATCTGTAGATAAATAGGAAAGTTTTATTTGAGGCGTAATGAGATTGTAGCTATTTGGACAAGGATGGGTGACCCTTGTACATGGATTACAGAGGGATTATGGGTAATAACACGCTATGGCTGTGAGAAGTGGGGTATTGATCTGAGGCGTCTTTTATGTTTGCTGCTGAAGAAACACTGCTACTTCTCACCTCCAGATACATTTCAAATATGAGTATATTCAGACCACTGCAAGAAAGAAATCCGTAGAAAAATGGAAAGTGGTTATAATTTTCTGACAGGACATTATCTAAGTTTACAGACATTTAACCCTAAAGCACAACACATTGCAATGTGTGATTCAAAATATCAGTGTAAAATCAATACTGACAATTCCTTATATATTAGCACAGTACATTAGGCCCTATTTTTACAGACTTTACTTAGAGTGGAGTTGTTTCTGTTTCTGGCGAAATGCAACTGAATCATTCAAATCCAGTCCAGGCCTTTTCTTACTCACCTTCATGTCCTTATTTCATTTGTAATCCACCTATGGAGTCCCATCCAGTGGCAACAACATACAAAAGTACATCAGCTAACAAGGCCCAGCGTCAAGTGGTTAACCAAAGATACCTTTCTTTCTCTTTACTGGTGCATGGCAACCACTGTGCAGAGCAAAAAGCCTTTTCTTTATTTTACTACGTGAGCCACAAAACCCCTGTATGAAGACACTTGTGCTTTGTCAAACACTCATCGGAATGACACCATCATAACCCTCTAATGAACCATGTGAGGCCTGAGCATAATTGGGTGCAAGATGACATTGTTGAATACAGTAAGCGCAGACATTAACACAGTAACCTGAGTGAAATCTGCTGACTGCTCATTATGCTCATTGGGTATCAATAAAAGTGGTGAATGAAGAAGAATGGAAAATTGTTCAAATAGAATTACAGATTTGATGTCTTGGTGAATTGTTGAATGGCTTCTTGTGCTGGAATTATTGTAGACATTTTATCCCAGAAAAGTAAGCATCAGTATTTTACTATTTCTTTTCCTGATTATTCCAAAAAACCTTAATAATGACATGAATTAAGGAACTTGTTCCTAGGTTACTATCTGAACATAGATGTGATGTAACAACAGATGTAAACAAGAAAAACTCTCTACAGTATATATTTCAGTTATTGTAGATTATGAAATGCTTCTTATAGGTCACCTCAAGACCTACAAACTTACGTTGCACAATGTTGAGCAAAAATCATTTGTATATTATTCTAAGTTGTAAGTTTCACTGTTAACACGCTGTAGCTAGTACAAGAAGTTATTTTAAATAGATATGGCAATATCTGCATAGTGTTCTTGTATTCATATTCTTTACCTGTACTTTCTGTTGGTCTAAAATTAGCAACCAGTCATTTTTTATTACCTTTCATTATCCACACCAAATGCATATCTGAAAAGTCGGCTGACTAGTTCACCCAGAAACCGATCATTTATTCCCACTCATTTGTTTTAAACCCATCTGATTTTCTTTCCTCGGTGGAGCACCAAAGGAGTCATTTATAGCACAATTTATAGCATAAGTCCAAGACGCATGTTTCCATAAAGTGGTCATTACAAGGCCTCAGAAGACTTGGAATATAATACATAAGCCATGAACTTGTTGAACT